GTAGCAGAACCAGGTCTTCAAAGCCTTAAGGAAGGCCAGGAGTGTGGGGGCTAATCGCACCTCCAGGGGCAGAATGTTCCAAAGAGCGGGGGCTACCACAGAGAATATTTATTTACCATTAAATTATATAGAGGGCTAATTTTGTGGTTAAAATTTACAAATGGGGCAGATGATCTCAGCAATCAAAAAGTCAAGATTTATATTCAACAATGTGTGCAGAATGTCATGTACTGTATAGCAATTTCTGAAGTTACAAGATGCTCTTTCTATAGGTCAGACATGGGTGGGAAAGACCTTCTAATGCAATCTGGGAGCTGAGATTTTTGCAAAAGCCCTTCATGGCACAGGACCAGGTTATCTGCCCACCCCACTTGTTCTGGCAGAAGGGGCATGTTGCAGACCCCACCAGTCTAGGAATTTTGGCTAGCGGGGTCTAGGAACTGGGCCTTTTATGCTGTGGCCCCCACCCTGTGGAACAGCTTGCCAGCTGAGGTGCGGGCTGCCCCCACTCTCCTGGGCTTTCGAAAAGGTGTAAAAACATGGCTATGCCAGGTGCCCTGGGGGTCTGATGGGGGCCCGCATTGCTGGAACTGGCTCGTGGGATGACTGATACTGCTTCCTCCATCTTCTTGATTTGTATACTGTCACCCCCAAGCAGATATGTGAAATGTGTGGTAGCTGAGAGGCTTCTTCTAGCAATTGCTGACTGCAGTGATCAGAACATCACAACAAAACTACAAATTGTACAAACCAGATCTTTTTCTGTAATCTTGATGAAGATGTCAAGTGCTTATTAGGCAACTAGCAGTTCTACACGTGCAAGCTTGTGTTTTCCCTGAGGTGATCATTGAATCAATATGTGTATGGAAAGAGTCAAAACAAATAACAATTTGAAATAACATAAAGTTGGCAAGGGGAGCCACTTGACTTCATATTTTAATAAAGATGCATAATTGTAAGTAGTATTTTTAGTGCTGAGAGCCAGTTTGGTCTAGTGAGTAAGATGCTGGATTAAAACCTGGGAGATTTAATCCTGCTTTAGGCATTATGGAAGCCAGCTGGGTAATTTTGGGCTAGTCCCTTTCTCTCAGCCTAGGAAGAGGGCAGTGGCAAACTACATCGGAAAAAATGTTGCCAAGAAAACTGCATGGGCTTGTCTGTGCTGACTGATTCGAAAATCCACACATAGAGGATTAGCTTCAGGCTGCACTTAGACTCTATGATTTCTGGACTGCCTTGCAGAATTAAGATGTTGGATGAATGGCAAATATATGGATGGGGAGATCTAACTGACAGCAGAGAATGGAGGAATTTTTGTCTGCAATAGATTATGCACCTTATTCCAGCAGTTATCACTTGTTACCATTTTTAAGCCCAAATAAAGCTGGACTGGGCCATTGCAACCTGTGCAGGAGGGTTCCTCAAAAGGGAGGCAGATGCCAGCCAAGTATGTAGTACCATTTGGAATTCGATTATCTCACTTACCCCTTTATTGTAGATTAGGTTGTGGCAAAGAGTGGGTCCCATCCTGGAATTACAGTCAGAGGCAAGTTGACACATGCCCTATCTCAGTTTGGAGATGGAAATGACTCAGCTGGGCCGCAAAGGGAACTGGGCTCAAATGCCATAAAGGCACGTCAGAAGCAGTGCAGCAAAGGCACAAACCTTTACTTTTGTGCCTCACACAAGATGTGTGAAGGCACAGCAAGTCTGTGTCTCCACCTCCATTTGAGTTGTTGAAGGTAGAAGCTAATCTGCTTCTCCTCAGCACTTTGTAGCTCCAGTTTTAGAGCTGGCAAAAGTAGTACATTTCTGAGATGGAGCATGAGATCAAGTATAGAGATGAGGGGCCCTGCCAGCAACAATGTTTTCAGATATACCCCAAAATTATTCATTTATTTACTTACTTCCACTATATCTCTCCTTTCCTCCAGGAGCTCCAGGTGGCATGTATTATACTCTCTCCCCCTAGTTTTCCCTAGAACAGCAGCCTTGTCAGGTAGTTGGGCTAAGAGAGAGTAGCTGGTCTGAAGTCACCTTGAAAGCTTTCTTGGCCAAAGGTAGACTTGACCATTGTTCTCCCTGAGGCCATCTGTACATGTTCAAAAGCATGCATCATGCAGAGATACCATATAGTTACAATCCAGTTGTCTCATGCGTAACATTTGCACTTTTGCACAGATTCATCTTGTGTGCCAATATCATCCATTCCTGGACTGGAGGGCCTTGCTCATGGCCACTCATGCCTTGGTCCTTTCCTGGTTGGACTAATGCAGTGCACTCTCCATGGGGCTGTCTTTGAAGACCACCAGGAAGTGACAGCTGGTCCAAAATGTAGTGTGCACAGTGGTGGGCACCCTGGTTTGCCCATATTACACTGCTGCTTCTCAAGATGTGGTAACTCCCAGTTTTTTTCTGGAATTCAAGGTGCTGGTTATCACCTTTAAAGCCTTGCACGACACGAGGCCAGGTTTTTTTGCAGAACCGCCCTTCCCTGAGGATATCTACCTATCCCACCAGCTTAGACAGGGTGGGTGTACTCCAGGTCCCCCAAATGTTGCCATCTAGCAGGAAGTATGCCTTTTCTGTAGCAACCCCTGCCCTGTAGAATGCCCTTCCCCCCTAATCCAACAAGACACCACCTTTTTAGCCTTCCAGAAGGCCATAAAAATCTGGCTTTTCCCCCAGGCATTGGGATAGGGTGAGGTTGAAGAACAGGGATTGTATCTGTTGATGTATTGGAGAGTGTTGACTGGGGCACCAGGTTCTGGTTTTACTGGGGGTTTTGGTTTTTATTATTGTTGTGAACCACCCAGAGTTGTGGCATATAAGATGGCAGCCACATAAGTCTTTTAAATCAATCAATCAATCAATGTACATCTGTGTAATCCTTGTACAGGTTCAGGCAGTGATCAACTGCACATTGTAATAAACAGGATTATGGTTTGTCTGGAAATGAACTTGGTCACACTTGCTAGATTCTCCCATGAATTGAGTATAGCTAACAACTAGTACTAGAACTTCTTGTTTATTTTTCCCAACTTGTGTAGGAATCATGGACTTTGCATTGTTCAATAATCCCAGGTTTGGAGGTCAGGAGTATAATATTTGCAACACTAATAGATTCTGTTCACTAAATCCAAAAATGAAAAAGGCCCAAATCATTCAAGATACTGAAATTTTGTAAAATCTCTGCGTTTTAAAATGAGATCTCACAAGTTTCTTAATTTTAATTCTTTTTCTTTTTCTTTCTTTTGCAAGATTACCTGAGAAGTTAGCTAATACCTCTGTAAAACATACATGGGCAGAGTGAGGCATGTGCCATTGGATAGGCCCAATTATCCTTTTTTCAAAGCTAAGCTGCTAATGGCTTAAAGTGACAGGCAACCTAGGCCTAGCATGTCTATCTACCCAGTAGCTCAAGAAGAGGAGGGTCTTTCCCATCCTCCCCCTACCAGATCAGACCCGTTGA